TATATATATATATATATATATATATATATATATATATATATATATATATATATATATATATATATATATATATATATATAATTTATGTACCGTTTCTTTTACTACTCGTTTTATAAGATGATTTTAACTTTTTTTTATAAAAATAACGGAAAGTAACGATTTTTTTATCGTTACTTTTCAAATAACGCGTTACTTTTTAGAATCAGTAATGAGTAACGGTAACGAGTTATTTTTTATCGCAAGTAACGCGTTACTTTTTATCGCAAGTAACGCGTTACTTTTTATCGCAAGTAACGCGTTACTTTTAAAAAGTAACGTTCCCAACCCTGGAAAAACAGCTTAAATGTTATATGTTGTATTACTACCCCTCATTGAATTACAATTAATGGTTAACTTTTTGTAACAAATATATTATGCAGTCCGGTTTTTTAAAATATAATGAAAAAGCATAAACAACTAATGTCACTCAACAAAAGATTTTGCAACTGTTGCAAAGTATTTACAAAATTTATTTTTTCTGTTGAACGCAACCTCTCTTTAAACTGTATTAAGGTTCCTGGGGAGTCGCATCATCCATCTCTTTTTAATGACGTCAGAAGCGAGAAAATGCATGCTAAAAATTCCTGCAAAATACGTCGAGATAAACAGATATATCCACAAAACGACATTTGCGATCGATTAAGTACACCTCTAAAATACTCCGTACATTTTCCTTTTGTTCTAACAATCAACAGATAATTATAAAATAAATGTGACGTGCAATCGTCTTTTCTAACCTAATTTCCTCATTATCTTGTCATATTAATTTTCCGATTATCTATTGATTTTTAGAACAAAAGGAAAGTGTACGGAGTATTTTAGAGGTGTACTTAATTGATCGCAAATGTCGTTTTGTGGATATATCTGTTTATCTCGACGTATTTTGCAGGAATTTTTAGCATGCGTTTTCTCGCTTCTGACGTCATTAAAAAGAGATGGATGATGCGACTCCCCAGGAGCCTTAATTCATATATATATATATTTTTTCTTTTTATGTAAAAATCCATATACACATATAGGAAATGTTAAGCAGAAGCACAACTCTTACCTTAAAATTCTGCCTGTCGATTCTATAACAATCATTCAGAATATCTAGTAATGTCTCTTGACGCATAACTTTAGTTGTTATTTCAGCGCACATCAAGACATCACGTTCGTGTTGTCGGATAGATGTTATATAGCCTGGCCATAATTCTAATTTATGTTCCGGCAAGCATATCTGCGTAGCATGATCAAACGATTATTTCGTTATATTATGCTTTAGACGCAAATAACTTCAAATATCAACATAAAACGAGAACACACCTTGTTTACAGGATCAAAATAATTGCGAGTGACCAATTTTAAGTCTAAATAATCTAGACATTTTCTCATAATTATATTGAAAAATTGAAGGTAATGGGGGTCACCCTGCGAAATACTACCAACAATACGCATGTCGATTTTGATATGCACATTATCCGATTGTCGGGTTGACAAGAACTCCATTTTCTATAATAAATCGATTGCTTTTATTATACAAATGATGCTGAAAGTGAATATGAAGTCACCTGCATCGCTTACCTCGGGCAATTGGTTACTCGTATACAGTACAGTGCCATCGAAGATGTATGCACCGATAGATTTTCGGTGGAGTTTGACCAAACCTTTACGTACAACAGTGCGATCTTCCTCGGGCGCAAAGTCGACACGATATTGGTAAACGCACCAATCAGTCACATTAATGAATTTGAAGTAATTTGACCTCAGAGTGATTGCGTTACCGTGAGAACCTGCAGATCGCATAAATAAAAAGAAATATGCAAGTAATTTCTGAAAAGAAATGAAATAAAAAAGATATTTTGACATTACTATTATTCAATACAACACGCTACAACAACATGCATCAAACTGAATCAATGCAATCAACATGAATCAACGCACGCAAACTCACTATTTTATGTGGAATTTCTCTTTTGTCAAAAACAAATAATTTATTATTAAATTACCTATATAAACACTATTGTTATTGCTTACCCTTTTTGTTTACAATATGGCTTGGTTTTGTAACAAAGATATCCGCTGATATAGTTCTTTTTCCGCGGGAAGCTCCTCTTCCTGTTGCAGTAATGAGAAAAGATGGTCCAGCAGTACCTTCAGCAGGAGTATCTCCACCAGCACCTACATGTTGCACTACTTATTTAATATATTCGCTTTTAAAAACGGTTTAAAACGAAAAAATAGTAATAACAATGTTAATAACAAAAAAACAATATATATCAATAACAAAATGTTTTTAGTAGAACTATGCTCTGCAGAAAATATTCTACTAAATATTCCAAACAAAATATATTTTTAACAAAGTGGAAAACAGATGTCACCAACAAAATTTAAAAAATTATTTATTACTTAAATTGCTAATAGCAATATTATTAGTGAAAGGAATATTCTCAAATGTTTTGAACAAAATTAGAAAACTTGATACAGCTAATTACACTGTTATTAGTACATATGTGCTATAAACAAATTTCATTATTTTACAAATTAAATTACGTATAAGTTTTTAACTAAACTTTTTAATAAACAAATGCAAAAATAAAAACTCCGGAATTACAATTTTTAATATCGAGAAAATTAAATTTTCAATAACTTTTTAACTAAAGAGGAATAAACGAAAATTTTAACGAGACATTCATGAGCAAACAATAAACAAACAAATGCATAAAGAGAAACTCCGACATTTCGATTTTTTTAAACATTGGATGGTTAGTGTGAATTGGCTTCCCCAAATTAAATTGGATAAAACTTTTTAACTAAGAGGAGACAAATGAAAGTTCTAACAAGGTATTCGTAAGCAAATGATAAGCAAACAAAATGCTCCGGAATTTCAATTTTATAATCGAGAAAATTAAATTGTCAAAAACTTTTTAATTAAGGAAGGATAAACGAAAATTCCAACAGGGCATTTGTGAACAAACGAATGCAAATAAACAAATTTCGTTTTTTAAATATTGGGGGATAACTTCACATAGGTGAATTTGTCCATTGTGTCAAGTGACAATCCAATATCGAAACAAAGTACTCATATGTCTAAATATACAATAGATAGAAAAAGGCATTAATTTTCTTTATACTGTACCAATAATGCGAATTATGTATATTATTATTAATTATTATATTATATTATATTATTATTAAATTATTGTGTATATAAAATCGAAAAATAATGCAGTGATGATACAATAATAATGATAAAACATAAAACATACCAGGTGGCATTACCATTTTCTCAATGCCTCTACCTATTTGTGCAACTGCACTGTCACCCTTTCCTCCAACACGTTGTTGGAAACCACGTCCACCCTATCATAAAATATTTAATTATTTAGTTAAATAGTAGTGAATGTCTTTACATTTTTTATACATTTTATAGAAACATGCACAAAATCATGAAAATAAGCATAAATTCTACCAATACAACTAGATATTAGTGAAATATGATTAGTCATATTACAAAATGTAAACCATGACATGTAAGGCTTAGTTAATATCAAGTATATACGTATACATGCATGTTTTAATATTTTTTCATAGTTGCTATTTTGTGATTATCTTTTAAAATCTCTCATTATTTTTGGTAAATATAAAAATGTTCCAATTCAACAAGACTATTTGTATATTTATGTGAATATAGTATTGTATAATAAAAAAATATATATAAAAAAATATAAAATATTGTACAAAAAAATATACAATTATAAATAAAGAGTTGCAAAACTAAATGTAAGTATATCTTGCTTTTATCTAAATAAAACCACATCATGTTTTCAACTGATAACAAGACTTAATCAATAATAAGCTTATTATAAGCCTGATATAAAGTAGTTATATAAAAGCAAATTCAAATAAGCAATTTGTCTATATTCCATATATGTGATTATTTACCTTTATTTACCTGGTTTAAATCTGAATTGACCTGCTTGCTTTTTATAAAAAAATTTTAATAAATTGCATGAGATATTATGGAATATAATTCTAAGTAAATATTGTACATCTGTATACTGATGAAAATTAAAAGTTGATAAATACAGTTCTGAAAAAAAAATATCCTTTTCCATATACTTTCTTATCATAGATTACTGATCATATAATAGTTTACAGTTTTCTGGTTTTAATAAAATTATTGCAACTGTAGTTTTATCATTATATCAAATGTAAAAGAAAAATTTGAAGATCACATTATAATATTATCAATGTTTTTTATGTTGTATGACAAAAATAAAAATCTATTATTTTTAAATAAACTATTAATTATGTATTATCACACATTTAACATCCATAGTTAATATATTTGAAGATATAATACATATAAAATATACTACTTACAGAAGTTGCTTGAGCAACTGTTTGTCCTGGTCTACGACTTTCATGACTTCCTGATGGTTGAGCATGTGGGAGCTGTTGCGAAGGTCCTGGTTGCTGTGGTTTTTGGGATGAAGCACGTCCACGACTTCTTCCTCGTCCCTTCTCAGACATCTTGTCCTAAAACACCTAATTTTAAACATAACAAAGGATATAGAAATATTAAGTTAACAGAGAAAAAGAATATTGGCTAAAAATATTAGAAAAAAAAGAGAGAAAACATAAAGAAAATAAAAATGAAATAAATTTTTTGAGGAAGGAAAATAGAAAGTGATATGGAAGATTGTATATCAAGAAGTAAAAAAGAGGCAAGAATTGACAAAAATATAAAACAAGGGTAAAAAAGAAAGGTAAAACTATGAATTTAGATTATTTTATCTTATATGTATGTGTGTATACATATATACATATGTGTGTGTATATATAATGTGTATATATATACACATTATATGTGCATGTATATATATATATGTATGTGTATATATATATATGTATGTGTATATATATATGTATATATATATGTATGTGTATATATATATGTATATATATATATGTATGTGTATATATATATGTATATATATATATGTATATATATATATATGTATATATATACACATATAATGTGTATATATATACACAACTTTTATATAGAATCATAAGAATCGAAAGAGTTGTGTAAAAAGTCATACAATTTTATTAAAATAAAATAACCTTGCTTTGAAGAAAAACAGACACAGAAGAAATGTTTAAGGATCATAAATTTACTACTTTTTTACAGCTCTTTTTTGCTGTAAATTTATTTTCAATATTTTCAAAAATCTAAAAAAATATTCAATAGATCCGAATTTAAATAGTTATTTTATCCTATTTAATTAATAAGCACATTTCCTATGCCTATCCTACAACATAGGAATTTCTTTTTTTACTATTCTATTGTTGTGCTTCATTTTAGTTAGAGCTATAAAAATGAAGTTCAACAGATAAGATTAAGAGAAGTGTATACAGATGTGTTTGGTATCACATTTTTATCTACATATATAAAGAATATTGAAATCTTGTGAAACGTCCAACAATTATTTAAGAACACGCAACTTGAGATAACGTAATAAAACACCAATTCACTCTGTAAAAGACAGGGGAATAAAGAAAAAAATCACATATCAAAAACATTAATTTTTTACATGCTTTAAATATAATTTATAAAAGACGTTAATTTTTACATTTCCTTGGCACTTATCGTAATTTCGTAGAACTCAAGTATCGTACTAAATATACTTCGACGAGAATTTATAACGGCCGGTTATTCTAATTTTTTGGTAAGTTAGAACAACCAACTTATGAGCAAAGTGTAAAAATAAAAAAGGTTATTTATACGTTCCAATATTTCTATGACTAATTCTTTTTTTATATTGCTACAATTTTAACTAATTTTCAACAATTATTCAATATAGGATAAATACGGATATCTCAAGATATACCTTTAATAAGTCGACCAAATTATCTCGTACAAATATTAGTCCTTCCTAGGCTTCTCCTCATCTGCTTTGCTTAGACACAAGACTGCGTTATACTGAACGCGCCTTTTGTTGTAAATTAGCGTTGATTCGTCGATCAAACAACCGTATTATACATCACGTGAGCATCCATCAATGAGAAGTCGTATCAAGCGCAAGCGCATTTGTCGAATGCGCGGACTTGATCACACAAATCACAATTAACACTCAAAATTCGCACGAAATATCAAACACATCGTTCTCACGGTGATAAATAAATATTCATCGCATGTAGTGCGCATAAAGAAATTGATAAAATAAGCAATATGATGAAAAAAGTTAATA